CTCTTTAAACAAACAAAATCCAAACCTACTTGTAAATGTTCCTAGTAGCGCTTCAGTTGTTTATAGTAAGAGCTGGAAGAAAAAAAAAAGGTGTCAGAAGTTTTGACTTTAGCTTCTAGGCAATAGACAGTAGAAATGTCAGGTCTTATACAACCTTGTTGTGTCAGGAATACTCACAGTCACTAAAATATAGAAAAACTAAATACCATTAGAAAGCAAAAAAAAAAAAAATTTAAAAATACTTAAAACATCTAATAACTTGTGTGAAATGGGACGTCTTTTGAGATTCTGGCCTGCAGCCTTCCTGGGATCTGAGTGCAAAAAAAACCAAACAAAAATTTACCTGGTTAATCTGAGCAAGTTTTAGTGGTGGGCCTGATTTGACTGGAGGAAGGATGGAAATGCAAGTTAAAGAGATATCTGGGTTCATTGGGTTGCACTGATGCCTAGGATGGCTCAGCTGCTACTCAGTGTGGAAACTAAGATTTCTATTTATTTGGCTTCAGTAGTTGCATTTTGGTCGGTGGGGTTTGGGTTTTCTAGGGCTTGGTTTTGTTATTTTGCTTGGTTGGTTTCGTTTAGTTTTTTTGTTTTGGGGTTTTTTGGTGTGGTGGTGGTTTTTTTGATTTTTTTTTTTAAGTAAATTCTGCTTACGACTGTTATCACTCTGCCTCTGAGCATTTTCCTTCCTTGGCAGGAAACACCAGTCTGTCATGACCTGAGAGTTTCTTATCTTCTCTTGACATGCTTGCAAATTCACAGACTTCTGTCATACCATCACTTTCTCTCCTGTACACAATGACACGTGGCAGCTCACTGTGAGAATAAGTCCAGCATTAAATCTCCATTAATAAATACTCACCTTGTACCTAATGCCAAAATAATGGCTTATCATGATCTCCCATTGGGAAACTGCTGCTCAGGACCTCTCCCTCATTTGTAGACATTGAAACTTTTTCAGATCAGGTTATAAAGCAACTTGGTTATGTCCTGTCCTTGGAAACAGATGTGCATCCACATAATGAAGAGCAGTTTCATAGCTCAGCAAAAAAAAGCCTGCTTTTTTTCTTGAGGAATGAAGTTGAACTAGGACTTGTCCAAATAATCTCTTTAACAGCCAAAGTGTGTGTTTGACCATCTGTATTTTTCGAATAGGAAAAAAAAACCCCAATAAATCAACTGTGATTAATTAAGGAAAAATACCAAAATTTTTACTCAGACATGAAGGTTGTTCTGATTGTCAGTAGACAGTAGCTTGTAAAAAGAGCTGAAGGCTAAGGCTTAGTTAGTTTTTTTAAATTTTTTCTTGTTGTTCAGTGATGTTAGAATAATAGTGTAATTAAAATGAATCTGATTACACATTTGTTTTTTTGGGAAACAAGCACAAATATGACTCTGGGTTCATGGATATTCTATAGGTTTGTCTGATCACAGAGGAGATTAGGTCACAAACTGTGTGGAGGACCTAATGCTACAAAATTTTAACAAAACTGTGAGTTAAAAAGTGCAAATGAATATCGAGGACCAAGATAATTGGCCTTTTAGCTTTTCCTTATAAAAACTAAGGTTTATTTGCCTTTTAAATAGGCTGGTAAAACTAAATTGGCACCCTACAGTGCGTGCAGTATAGATAGTCAGGAATAATAAACTATTAGTAGAAGACAGTCCATCAAAGGGTTAATCTTTAAAATCTGCTGTGACTACAAACCTGAACCAGGAGAAATAAGAGTGGGCAGGTAGTTGCATTTGTTAGATTATATTTTTGGTGATCCTCCAAAATCAGGAGGAAAAATAATTACAAGTACTCTGAAGACCAAATCCAAGCTCTCGCCTCCATGCGGGCAGCAGCTCCGTGTTGGCTCCAAGGTGTTACTTGGAGAAGGTCCTGCTTAGTCAGATTGTTCACAGGCTGGTTTTTTCTCAGATTATTCACCAACTGATGATGGGCATTTTGCATAAAAGAGCACAATCTGCTATGAAAATAAAGTTCAACTCAGTTGAGTCACAGTTCAGAAGTATTCCTTAGTCTTACACCTGATAAGAGATGATGGGTGAATCTAGGACTATTTGAAATACTCGTGGTTTTTAGGATCAGGAGATCTTTGTGAATGTTTATATTGCAAGAAGGGATGATTCCTGGAATACTTGGTTTTCTCTGCAGTACAGAATCTACATAAAAACTATGCCATTAATATATACATGAAAGAAGCTTGATCATTGTATGTGAGGACACTCCATTAATCCCACTTCACTGATTATTCCTATGGAATTAGAGGGTTGAGACACCATTTCAATGATTTGGAGACTAATGTAATTTTTGTTTTTCCCTTTTTTTATCTGTAAGTTAATGCTTTTTATTTGTTACTTCAGCAGATAATTTTTTATGGTAGCTTTTCTGCTTTATATCCTGCTGGTATGTAGTTTAACAAAATGCCTTTTTAAACTGTGTATTTAATTCCTCAGTCATGCCTCTGGGAATAAATTCTTACTGTATTAAAACTTCTTTTATATCTTTTTTTTTTCTGTGGTGGATACCTCTGCAAACTTTCCTTTCAGAAATTACCACCTCTTATTTCCTTTCTGTGTCTCACCAGCTGCTATTTGCTGCTGGTCATGTCCTGTTACAGTGGCTTAAATACTTAAAGAAATTCCTTAACAGCGCCTCTAGTTTTTGCATCGAGAGTTTCAGGAAGAAAATCAAATTTTCACACCTGACTGCTGATTTTAGATGTTCTCCATGATGCTGTGTCAATGAGCTGATATTGTGGAGAATCCTTTTTAAAATTACTCTTACAGTTTTTAGTGATCCTGAGTGGTAGCATTTATGGTGGAAAATGTGATGCTATTTCAGAAGTAGCAATGCTGTACATTTCTGTGTAGAAGTCATGTCTCCCTTACTGGTAATTACTTGCTTTTTGCAAAGTTATATATGCAGTGTTTTTGCAGAAGTTTAGTGGATGTCTTGGTTTAGAGACAAGTTTTAGGAGAAAAAACCCTGAAATTAAGGTTTCCTCTAAAGAGAAGGGAGTTTGCCAATGAGAGAAATTAATACCAATGGGTGAAAGTGAAAAAAGCCCAAACTGTTCATTAAACCAAAAAAGGGTGCACACAAGGCACAGAAAAGGATTGAATAAATGCTGGAAACTGAAATTTCCAAACCTTAACCCCCAGCCCTGCCAGGCCTGTGTGGCCAGGGGGCAGAGATGGCAGCTGTGCCCTTTGTCTCAGGGAAGGGGAGGCACAGGAGCTCACGCAGCCACCAGGCAGATAGATGGGAGCCTTTCTGGTGCTGGTCTCCTCCACACAGCAGGAAAAGCTGGTGGGTTTTGGTGTCCTTTCCTTTGCTGGCTTGGTGTCTCCTGAGGCCTGGGCTGTCTGGCACAGCCCCCACAGGCTCCCAGCATTGGAGGGGGGAAAAAAAGAAAAAAACCAAGCCAAAACAGTTAAAGGGGGAGGAAAAAAAAACAACACCCAAAAAAAAAAAAAAAAAAAAAAAAAAAAAAAAAACCAAAAAAACCCACACACACACAACCAAAAAACTGAAGGATCTCTGTTGGAGTCAAGAGAAAAAGGTGGGGAAAGAAAAAAATGAAGCTTCTTGCCTAAGCGAGCAAAACTCATCCAACAAAGGAGCAACGTAACATCCCTGTCCATGGTGTGTGGAGCACACCCTGTGAAGAGAATTCCAACAGAGCCTTCACCTGGGCTTCCCAGGCTCCAGCCCCAACCTCTGGTTCATATTAAATCTAAAGCAGCCATTTCTGGGCATGAAGCAGAGGATTAGGGAATGGAGTATCACCATAAAATCACCCCAGTACAATAGGGCTGGTTGTAAATTGTTGTTAAATCCGGTTCTTGACAAGTGAAATTGTTAATTGTTAATGAATGAACATTTTTCTGGGAAGCCTTTTTTCATTACAAATGGGCCTTGCTCATCCCTGTTCAGCAGTGGTATGATTAGAAGTGCTGCTGTGCTGTATTGTATTGCAGTTGTACTGTCTTTTTATAATCCAGAGCCCCAGCACCTCACAGATCGGGCTCCCTCTCTCTGATGCAGACTCCCTCCAAGGAAAGAACCCAGGGTCACAAGAACTTTGTGCTTTTCCTACAAAGCTGAACAACAAAGAAATTCTTTTTCCTGCAATGCCATGAAGCTGGCTATGTTTACAAATCGAAATATTTTCTTTTTGTCCAAAATGGTCATTGTTCAATCTCTATAAAGGATGGGAAATAATGAAGTATTTTCCTTCCCAGATAAGTTCATGTGGAAAAAAATCATCTTTGTCTGCATTTTGAGTTTTTTCTGGTGCAAGATGAGTTCCTCAGGACAGCAGAATTAATGACTAAGTTAATGACTAAGAGCCTTCAGCTTAAGGGAGATCGGCTTTAGTCCCGTGAAGCAACAATATGTGCTCCTCACTTGTGTTGTCGTATAGTAAGTCACAGAGTTTATTACTCTGAAAGATTTTAACACTCTGTTAAGAAGCCACCATAATTCCTTACTGAAAAAGACCACACAGAGGTTTCAGAGTTGTGGACTGTAAAGGAATAAAACATTCAGATTTCTTTGAATCAGATCTGAATCAATTTTGGATACCAGGAAAAAATACCCCTTAACATTCTGACTTTAAGGCAGGCCTGACATTTGTCATGTAGCTCCTCACAGTGTTCTCAAGGTGCTACTCAAGGAAGGAAAGTTATTTACACACAGGTAATGTAATCCCATCTTTATTTTTGAAGAATAAAGAGGGATTAGTGGATTGTAGCAACACAGGACAAAGCACAACAAAAATTAAATGTGTTCAGGCCAGTTTGTGCTACAAAGTTGGTACAACTGGTTACTACACTGAAATTAGTATATATTATCTCAATTCACTCCATCTGCTGCATCATACAGAATAATTTCAGGAATGGTTGGAAGGCTTACCTCAAATATACTTTGAAAGTTTGATTGTATTCATTATATATCAGATTTTAACATCCTCTTCTGTCTTTCTTAGTCTGTTCACAGTTTTCCAGAGGAGTTTATGCCATCTTTGGATTCTATGACCAGATGTCCATGAACACCCTGACATCATTCTGTGGAGCCCTTCACACGTCCTTCATCACACCGAGCTTCCCGACAGATGCAGATGTGCAGTTCGTCATCCAGATGCGGCCAGCGTTGAAAGGAGCCATCTTGAGCCTCTTGACTTACTATAAGTGGGAAAAGTTTGTGTACCTCTATGACACAGAACGGGGTGAGCACTGTCATTTTGACTGATTTTCTGTTTCATAGCTTGCTCTAAGTATTGCCAGCATCAGTACGTGCAGCCCAGTTTTCTTGGGGATGTAGGTAGAATGTTCTGAAGGAGCTAAAGTGAATGGATAAATGACCAGGAGGCATCTTCATGTTACTGATAACTTTTAAGGAGATTGTCTGAGAATAGTGTTAGCAGAGTAAGTATTCAATTGTCATGCCTGGTTTCCACTGAGCTGCAGACTCCACACTTGCCAGGGTGTTTGAGTCCTTGCAAAATAAATAAGGTCAACACTGTGAAAAAGGCTGATAAGCAGGACCTTCCACTGTGCATGACATTGCAAATCCCACGCCACTTTACATAGATGCACATTTCTCCTGTCAGTGGACAAAGGCAATCCTTGCTAAGATACACACTGGAGATGTCTAAGCATTAGTAATGGTCTAAGCATATATTGTGTAAGATCTCTGCTGGAGCCCAGAGAAAAAGGTGGGGAAAGAAAAAAAATGAAGCTTCTTGCCTAAGCAAGCAAATACTGATCCAACAACAGGAACAATGTAGCTCTAGATAGCTCATATTCCAGAGACAAATTGAGATACATGCCAAGAATGACCAGAGTTATGTTTAAGTGGAAACGTATTAAAACCAGCGTGTTCATACTTAAGCCAATTGTTAACTACTAATAAGCATAAAATGTAGCAAAAATATGTCTAGAAAAATCTGTCAAAAGAGAACTAGACATCAGAACCATTTTCTGTGAGGAATCTTTCAGCTGCCACCTGCTCTGAGTGTATTGAATTTGCTGAATTTCTGCTTACAGATTTCACCTGGGTAGCATTTTTTATATCAAATAGATGTGCCACTGCCCTTCTTACCAGCTTTATGATTTTCAACTTCAAGAAATTTTTCAGATCAAAGGGATCTCAGTAGAGACAAAGAAGCTTCGATTCTGTTCCTGGCTCCCATGACAATATTTCCTTAGGCTACTGCATATTGTTAAGGATCAAATCTTCAGTGGGTGTGCTTTTCACGTTGAAGAATAGTAGCATCACCCAACTAAGAACCCAACTGAAACCTAAAACGTCATGTATTGAAAAAGTAATTTTCAGTCTGATTTAGGTGAATGCCAAGCATTTCAAATTTTCTGAGTGATTTGGAGGTGTTAACCATTTCTAGCACTGAAAAACCCTAGCTGTGAGATTAAGTAGGATAATATGGAGAAGTTGAGAATGCCATTACTTCTGAAATCTTGTAAAATCACTACCCATAAATCTGTTTTTCTGGCTTAGTCCACTTTTAAATGAAAGCTCCTGTGAATAAGCAGTTTGTCTGAGTAAGAAAGGCTTATTTGATGTGGCGAAATACAATGAACTTACAGTGTGTGATGAAGTAAAATGCCATTAGTTCCAGGACTGATGAAACTTACCATGATTAAGGCTAATAAAGTTTGCTTTGGAAAGAGTTTAACGAGTCATTCAAGAAATTTGGCACTTTAGACAGGAAAAATCATCCAAAGCAATAACAGTTTCACTAGAACTTGTCTAGTTGACATAACTGTCAGACTAAGTGAGATAATAACAGGAGTCAGGAGGAGGGGAGACTTGCAACCTCAAACTTGCATTTATTTGCAGTTCTCAGTGTGTACAATCTTTAGGTAGACACAGTCTGAGCTTGTTATCATGGCTAATCCCTTTGGAACACTTTACTCATAATCTTACAAGGGCTAGCCAAAGTCTTGCTGTGACCTCCAGTGTCTCACAACGGTGTTAGACTGGCCCTGTGTTATGTCAGAGTGACAAATCTGAGTGAGATGACAGTGAAGGTCACTGTAGGATTATAAAATGTAGCACAGGGCAAGATAAAGGACAACTGTGTCTTTAGCATGGAAGAAGCATCAGTACATATAGGAAGCTTGATGATGGGATTTAAGTTGTTTGGGGTAAACTTATATTTGGCCATCTTATTTGTTCTTCCTAGTTGTTGCTGTTTGGTAACATACCTATTATTTGCTAAGTTGGGAAAAAATGAACAGTTTATTAGCCTCACTTACTGCTGTTTTAGTTTACTTCATAGAAATTGGTAGCCATCCTATCAAGAGTTTTAATTCTTCTAGTATTATAATAAATTAGGAAGTTTACCATAGGAGAGATGCAGGACAATTAGGTACTGAGAAATGGAGGTTAGATTCCTTTGAGGAGTGATAATCATGTGGTACCTGAAGCATTTGGCAATTCCAGTAAGCTCACCAATTTGTTGTGATAGGCCTTCAAATGCCTAAATAATCCCCAAAAGTTTGGACGGTAATAATGGGGAATGACTGCTTGTGTCAGGTAGTGAATAGACTGTACATGTTCTTTTGCTAAGAAATGCAAACACTAGAGCTGTCCCAACTTTTAATAATTCCTGTCTTGGATACTGAACGGCTTTGGGGCACAAACACTGCAGAGAGAATGTGTTGAGCAGTTAATTGTCAGTTCCTGAGATAAACTATCATTTAAATAGTGCATTTCTAGGAATATTATAAACTCGCTGAGAACCTGAGAAATCACTAAATATCAGACTGTTCTTTCTTATGTTCAATATTATTTATGGACTGAACTGATGTTGTAAGTAGCTTTACCATATTCAGCTGAAGTGAAGCACCACCATGTATGAAGCATTGCATATACTGCTAATACCACAGCATATTACACATGCCATACAAAACTGAGTAAAGGTTCTTGTGGTTTATTGAACTCTTTTCGTTTAAGCTTAGGAAAATGCAGCTTTGTAGAATTGTTTTCTTTTTGTTCTTTACCATCAAGTCGTGTAATTGCATGGTTTCCTCCTCAGTGATATTATGTACAATACTGTGGTGTTTGGCTCCTGCAGTGAAGACCAAAGATAAATCTCAAACAACAGAATAAAATTAAGATGTGTAATTACACAGATAGGTGGTGAAGCTTTTAATCAGTTGAGTGAGTGTGTACATTGTATATACTTACATTCTTAAGTATAAAATAATATTTTCTGTTGCTATGAAATGACTGCAGATTGTGCTGTCAAATGCATATTTATGTGAAGGTGTAAAATTCAGTTTCTTGAAAACTGCTAAAGCACACAGGAAAAGAAAAGGTGAGATTCATTAATTTCACCAGCAAGAAGTATGTGTTATTGTTAATTTCAGTTGATAAATTTATTCTTCTACTAAGAAACAGAAATTTAAGAGAAATACCAAATTACATGTCTCCTCTAGTACCACCAGGAAAAACCCAAAACATGCTTTTCAGAGTGCAATGATACTTTAGGAAATGGCTGCTAAGGGAAGAAAGGACATTAAGTGGTGTGTAGAAGAAACAATCATATGTTCACTCCATGCCACATGCTTTTAGTTCATGTGAAAGGGAAAGGCAGGGTTGCTTTCTGTTTGTGTTAACTCACATCAGTAAGTTGACACTGTTGGTTGCTGTGATGCGTGCAAAATATCTGATTAATTGTGTGGTGCTAACTGCCTCGGTAGGCTTCTCTGCAGTAGGACTAAGACTAATTGAGATTATGTCAGGATGAGATGAGGTGAGGTTATGTACAGAAAGCTATTAAGAATTTAGGTGCACTTTTCAGGAAAGTCACCTTTTGTATCTCATGTTGAGGATTACGTTTCATCAGAATACTCAGGTTTACTTTCAGTCTTCAGCTCTGTCTCTTCTCTTGCTTTACCTTAAATCAGATGTTGTTCCACTGAATTCAGTGAACTGAAGTAACACAGGTGTGAATGTGTGCAGAAGTAAACTTGCGGGTTTCATAATCATCTTATTGTTGCTTGAGAGTGTGAAATACTTCTTAATTATAAAAATGGTATGGTGAACTGTAATACTGAAGCTTTTGTTTATTTAAATTTTCATTATGTTAAGTAACATTTTGGTTTATTTTTGCCAGAGAAACACAGTTTTGTACAGATTGTTTGCTTTCCATCTGTCAATGTAACACAGATGTTTTTTTCCTAAGTTATTTTGATTTGTCATACCTACTCTGCACAAAGACGTGTATTTCTGTCAGGCAGATCATTTAAACAAAACCACTCCAAGTGATTTATGTGATTTGCATCTAGTCTTCAGGTCATGGGTCATTACAAGACAGGAAAGTGGCCAACTGTGTTTGTGTAATGCCTTCCTACTCAATGGCAGCTCAGTCTGGACAGAGGTATGGAGACATCACAGGTTTTTTGTGGCATTGTAAGCAAACCCCTCACTAAATCTGAAGTTCTTCTGTCATTTGGTTTTGATTTAGTCTATCAGTAGATATCTAGCAAGACCTAAAGTCAAGGAAAAAAAGCCTTAATAAATATGGTTATTGTTGGGTAATTTTTTTTTTCATTGGCTAGCAGTGACTGGATGAAGGCTGAGGCAGGGAAGTGTTAATCTAATGCCCCAGGTTATTTGGCTAAGGAGAGTTGAAAATGTTTGCTTTAAAAGCAATTACATCTTTAATCCTTGCTGCTACCAAAAGACAAACATTTGACTTGAATGTAATGGATAGGTAAGGGTACAGAAGGCCTCAAAATATAGGTTCAGAAAATATGACCAGTCCTATTTCTTCTAAATATAAAACTTCCTGGTGCTCTGTTGCATAAAGAAATGCCAGGTGAAAAGAATGGGGAGAAAAAAAGGTACAACTGGAAGCTTTTCAGTGATCATGTGTAAGGCATCAAATTGCCTTAAAATGGGTTCAGCACAAGGCAATGAGGTCTGATTCCCTGCTGCTGCTGAAGACAAAGAACAACTCTGTTGAGTTCTGCTTTTGCAGAATGAGGTTAGTTATCTATTGCTATCAAAGGACAAGACACTTCTGTACTGCTTTCCCTGGGGAATGGGAGATTGGAGCTGATAAAAGTGGTATGTAGAACCAGGCTCATTATAGCTTCCACAAAATTAAATTGATGGGTTTTTGGGTTTTTTTTTAATTAAGAGTTGCATTGAAAGGTACTCCTATGTAGAATGTAACTTTTTTTTTTTTTTTTTTTG